TGGAAGTCAACGTGGAAACAGCTAAATGCCTTGTTATGGCTACTTGTGTATTACCGTTGACTAGTATTACACAATTACCTAATCAATAAAAACTCTGATGTGAACTATTTTCATTGTCTTGATGAGGAAGCTTCTGACACTCCTGTTGGTGGTGCCTTTGTTAACTGCAATCGTGTTTTTAAGAGTGGTCCCCGATTTGCAATGATTGTGCGAGAAAGATTTGTGGACTTCTTTAATAAGTAGACTACTTAATAAGTAGTTGTAGAACACTGTCTAAAGCGTTGAAAATTAAGGAAGATGGACTCCTGGTAGTTAAACTTATTTTGTTATCAAATAAAATTGTGCTCTATAAGCCATTGGCCTACATTAAATTTGCTTTATGTAAGTGAGGTTAACTATGGAATTACTTTGGAAATGTGTAATAACCCTGTGAGTTTCAAACTTACTAGTTTATTTAACACTGTTGTTGTAAATACTGATATATTACTTGCTTGGTAAGAAACAAGGTTGTCAAGTAACGACTATCAAAACATTCTTACTTCTCAGAATTTAATGCGAAGAAATATGTTTAGTATTATGTGTAATGACAATCTTTAGGGAACCAATATCTAACAATTATGCTGTTTCTAAAAATGCATAGCCGACAAAAGTAAGGAATAATTATTTGGTTGCTGTTATGATTAAAAAAATTATAGAATTATAGTTTTATTGAGAACATTTTGAAGATATTGTTATTTTGTTACCTGTGAACGTTGAAAGTGGTAATTTTTCTTTTTTTTTCTTTTTTAGAATAACTAAAAACTAGTTTAAGTTGAAGATGTTAAATTTGGGATTAGAGGTAATTCAGATAAAATTGTTATTGAAAAATACAAAAACCCCGTTTGAAGATGTTAAATTTGGGATTAGGGGTAATTCAGGGTAGTTACTAATGTATTAATGCTATAAAGGCCAATAAATGTTTGATTCTAAAACACTATATTAATTTTCAATTAGTTAAAATTGCAATTTAAAAACAAAATTATAAGTTAAGCGGAAATAGTACTTAAGAAACCAAGTGAGTAGTTGTGTACACTTTACAATCAAGAGTTAACATTTTTAACCTACAAAATATAATAATCCAATCACAGCACTGAACACATACCAAGTTCGGTCCAAGATTATGTTAAAATGAAAATCTTACCACACAAAATGGTTGACAATTATTAATCACCAGGTACTTTCAGCTCTTTCCCAATCTCGTCCCAAATTCGGTCTTTCTTCTTTAGGTTCTTGTAGTCCTTATTGTTTAGGTCATAAAGGACCGGATAGGTGTATACACACACTCTAACAACATCTCTGTTAAATTACTCATAGTTTCTAAACACACGTCTACACTATCAAACACAAAGCACTGTCTCACCTATTGTGTGACTGTTGACTGTACGGTTCCCGCTCTATTCGCGCAGGAAAACACTGCATGCAGCAAACCAGGCGGGAAGACGTTGCGAAAAGATCCTGCCACTCGATCCCGCGCGAACGATTTGCATTGGTGTGCGCTCTCTCATATCCCGCCGTTATTTTACAGTCCCGCACGGGAACATCCTCCATAGTTGCGTCGCTCCCGCTTCCCGCGTTTGGTGTGCGCAGGCCTTAAAGAACTACAATCAGTGCTTCCCTTGTTTTTGTCTGGAGGAGCATTTGCCGTCTACGATGGGCTTACCGACGCAGTTAAGAGTGATTACTCAGCCCTGACCGAAGCTTTGCAGCAGGCTTTCTCTGCTGTTTCCCAGGATATGAGGAGTTCATATCTAGACGTTTAGTTTGCTCCTAGGAGAATCTGTTGATGTCTACGCATCTGATTTGAAAAGGCTGGCCAAATTAATAGATTCTTCAGTTTCTGACGAGTGGATAAAGAGTTCTTTTGTTCACGGACTACCCAGAGAAGTTCAAAATCAGTTAAAGGTGGCATGTTGTTTGCAAGACATGGAGCCATCAAAAGTGTTAGAAAGGGCGAGAAGTTTAGTGAATGGAAGTGAATCCAATGTTGGAGCCGCCGCTCAGATGAAAGTGCCCGTAAGTAAAAGACAGTTTAGTAGAAAATGTTTTATCTGTAACTCGGAAGGCCATCTAGCAAGATCATGCCCACAAAGAAAGCCGAGTAGCACCTCCAATGTAATTTGTTTCCGCTGTGGAGAGGTAGGACATTATGCTCCAAAGTGTTTACAGGCTCAAAAAAACGAGTAAAAGGGGCCACCCTTTGTTGCGCGGGTGGCTATCCTTGTTTGACTGCGCAACCGCAACTGCCGACGTTGATGGTAACTGTTGCTGGAACTAAGTGTTGTGCATTATTAGATACAGGGTGTTCAAGAACTATTATCATAGATAAATCATACTCCCTTAGTAGATTTGTCATCCTTATGGAACAGCTGAGGCCAATTTTATTGTTTGTTCTGTATGTCCAACTGTAGAGGTTATGTTTTGTTTACAATTTGTTTCTTGTTATTTCAGTCATTTAAAACCTAATTTAATCATATAAAACGATTTAATCATAAAGAATAACTGGTCCCCTAGTTATATAACCAAATAGTAATGCACAAATCATTAAAATAACCCTAAAATAATAGAAACAAAATGTGGTCTACCCCAGCGATCAGTGTGGACGTACATGAACTAGACATGAAAAACAAGCTTCAAAATTTACAATGGGATGAGGATTCTACTTGTGTTGCTTAGTCTATGCTATTATCTCACAGAGGCTTGTCAGGTCTAAGAAACTAACAAGGCCCACAAGTCAACGAGTGGTAATGATGAACGGGGATGTAGTAGACTGTAACTTAATGTGTGAGACAGAGGTGTCTGTTAGTGGGATTAACCTATCATTAAACTGTTTAGTTGCTCGATTATAGCCAAACTATCAGGTGCTATTAGGAATGGATGCGATTTCTGCAATAGGTGGAGTTACGATTCAGGGGGATGGTGGCGTAGAATTTAAAAAGGGCTTGAGTACTGGAGCAGTGGCTGAGTCTGAGCAAAATGGTGACAGTGACCAGAAAATCATGAGGAAGATCGAATCCAAGCAAGACATTTATATTGATAAGAAATTTACAGAGAAGATCATTATTGCATTGCACTTGTGTGTGAGAATGAGAGTGTTGAGAGTCAAAAGTCATTGGTGAAACAGATTCATGACTTGCATCATTTTGGTGTTAACTGTTAACCGTACTTTATTCACCGTCAGACGGTGTCATCCAGACATTACCTTTATATATATAAAGGTAATATATATATATACAGGGTGATTGGTACTCAGTGTGACAAAAATTTTTTGGTGTAAGTACAAAGTAAATGAAGTGTGATGATGCATATAAAAGGTTCCAAGTCTAAAAATTAGCTTTCCACAAAATTATTTTATGTTTTTCAAAAATAACTATGTTTTTAAACTTAATACAGCAATTTCTCAATTACCTGTATATGAATTTGAGTAGATAATGTCATTTTTGTGTTCTACGTTAAATTTTGAATAAGAATAATAGAAAATAACGGAGGATCGGTTGTAAAAACTCCATTATAAGTAGATCAAAGATAAAAATGAATGCGTTTGATAAAAATAAAAATAAAATAAACATTGGTCTATAGCATTTTTTCATACCCTGTATACAAGACAGTGTCCGAATATGTTAAAAACTGTGCCATTTTATGAGCTTTCCAACCATATGCTACACTATTGAGGTTTAGATATTCTTTTGTTTGTTTTAGTGGTTTGAATACCAGAAAACAGGGAACTTTTTTACTGTTTTTACTGTTCAAGCTGAAACAAAAATACAACTGTTGCTTAATACATGCCGACTTTCTATATTTTAAATCTTGACACCATGTTTTGTAGTCTTCAAACCACTAAAGCGTACATAAGCAGACATAAAGCTCAATGGTGTAGCATATGGTTGGAAAGCTTATAAAATGGTGCAGTTTTTTACCATATTCGGACACTTTCTTGTATACAGGGTGTGAAAAAATGCAATAGACCAATGTTTTTTAAATTTTTATCAAATATCTTAATTTTTATCTTTGAATCTATTTACAATGGAGTTTTTACGTTTGATCCCCCGTCATTTTCTATTATTCTTATTCAAAATTTAATGTAGAACACGAAAATGACATTATCTACTCAAATGCATTTACAGGTAATTGAGGAATAGTTGTAAGTTTAAAAACATAGTTATTTTTTAAAAACAAAATAATTCTTTGGGAAGCTAATTTTAAGACTTGGAACCTTTCATATGCATCATCACACTGTATTTACTTTGTACTTACACCAAAAATGTTTTGTCACACTGAGTACCAATCACCCTGTATTATATATTCATATAAAAATTTGAACGAATATTGTTTTCATGTATAACAATTTTATATATGTCTGTAAACGCGATAACTTTAGTAATTTTTGTTTGATTTTGATGAAATTTGGTTTGAAGGTGTAAGGCGGGATAAATAAACTTGAATGAGTTCGTGAACCAGCATGGTCGGACGATGAGAACGGGGTGTTACAGGGGGTTTTATGCGGCAAAAATTGGTTTTTCTAATTTTTTACCATCAAAACACAAAATTTCCCAATTTTACTCTACTCCATTTTAAAGAGCTCTTAAAAATACAAATACTTTAGTATATTGATGCGTTTTTGTGCAGTTATTGGTTACAGAAAAAATTCAAAAAATTTTTAATTTAAAATTCCCATGTTATTTTTATGGAGAATATTGTAAAATGTTGTAGTTTGCTTGTTTATGGATATATTTTGATCAAACTTGGCAAATTTATTAGTTTTATACTATACTATTAACATTTTACTTACTAAAAAACACACTTTATTAGTCTTCCTGTGACAGGAAACTTAGGAACTCGTTTAGCCGTTTAACCTAATGTTATTTAAATAGATTTAATCGTATATCAATTCAGGCAAATGGAAATTCACTTAGTCTGCAGGTTTAGTCACAATTTAATTATTTCAACTGATGAATGTTCCACAGATATGCCATGTGAGAGGCCGACTACAGTGCTACTTGTAGAAGCTTTGAGCAACTGTGTCGCTCTACATGTCCAATATCCTCACTTTGTACCACAGAATGACACTCTACATTGTCTGGACACTAGCTGTCGTCTGCTACAATCCTCGGAGACAGCTGTGCAGCTGGCAGCTTACCAGCTACTGCTTAGGTAAACATGCCGTGTTGTTCAAGAGATGAAAATTAAGTAGTAGTTATGTGTTCCTCCTGATCTGTAGCCTAATTTTCCTTTTTAAGATCAAAAGACACCTAACGATAGTGACGCAAATTAAATAAAAGCCACTAAAATAAATGGTAGGTCTCCTTCTAATTATATTAGTTTTAATCAAAGGACATATTTTTTAACTAAACAATGCTTAAATAGATGTACAGGGTGGTCCACAGGAAACGGATGGAATAAAAAAAAAACTATTGCTTTTAAAGTTTGAAACATAGAAAAGTTGTTTTGACATAGAAATGAAGGAAAGGTTATGCCATTTACAAAATAAAATACCTTATTTCAAGTTTTGAAAGTTACATCATTCAAATTACGGCCAGTTAAATGAACAAAAATGTTCTATCTTTGCTAAAAGAATTTTCACTTTGTTCAGTAACTATTCATTGATAAGTTCAATTTGACTCCAGATTGAAGCCTTCAATTCTTCCAGAGTATGTGGTATTTCTTTGTAAACATGTGTCTTTAGGTGACTCATCGATGTTGGGGGTAGCCCCACATGTGATAAGTTGAAATATTATTTGCTCCAGATTTTTACTGAAATTCTAGTGTTATAAAGTGGTTTGTAATACAAAATTTGGTACTAAACTGTGCAGTTTTTATTTTTCAACAGAAAGAAGGTATTTATTTCATGAAATAGTTTACATGAAGAAAAATATAAACCTATTAACCTTTAAGAAGAATTGTTGCTACCTGACCGAGAATCCTTATCGGTCAACCACATAAGAGCCAGTTATGCCCTTTCTTTCTTCTGCTCTACATAGATAGTCTACATCCACTATCTACCTGAACATTACTTTTATGACCTAAATTGTAGTAAATTTTAAGAAACATTACAGGGTTAAAAACAACTAAGCTCTTATGTACCATTTATTTACTTTTTTATCAAATTTTACCTTTTAATTCGTCAATTAAAAACAATGCATGCCCTATTTACAACTGCAAACCCTTCAAGAACAAATTGAGTAAATTAAACTGCAACTAAATTACCTTAATTCTTATCACTGTTTTACCACACTCCAAGATGATAAACAAAAACAGTGATTTAAAAAGTCCAGGGTTTGCTAAGCAAGATTGTTTGTGACAATAATTGCCCACATCACAAGAAATTAAATTGTTAATTGGTAATTAAATTGTTGAATGCTTTGTACTATGTGAGAAAAACTAGCCGCTCATTCCAGACTAGATTCAAGGAGCATTTACCCAGTATGAGGAACCATAGTTACAGGTCTACAGGCACGGGTCTACCTGAAGATAAAGCAGAAACCGCAGCAAGAAAAAGGGACTATGACCTAAGACCTAAGACTTGGAGGAAAACTCAAACATCCGATTACATAAGCAATGCCGACAACAAGTCCAAGGCACTCTGGAAGGTTATAAATAATGAGAGAAAATCAAGTACCAGTATAGCAAATGAGTGGGAACTCCTAGTAGATGGGGAGACATTACAGGACCCAATGAAAATAGCAAACCACCTCAACAGTTTTTTTGCTACAGCTTCGGAAAGGACACTTCAGGCCAACAACTCCAACACACACACCAGAACCTCCGAAATTCCTCCTTTAACAGCTAACAAACTAAAATTTCAGCTTGCAACACGTAACGAAGTACTAAAAGCAATAGACTCACTTAAACCAAAAACTTCATCTGGCACTGATGAAATATCAGCCAAACTGGTCAAAACGGGTGAGGTTCATTTGTCCGAGTTTTTAACTGTCCAAGTTTGTTAAAAATTACAAAATATTTGAAAAATCATTCGTCTGAGTTTTCATAAATAACTAATAATAATTAGATAAATCAACTGTCCGAGTTTTCATTTGTCCGAGTAGGGTCAACATCAAAATATGACACTACGCGCCGAGACTAGCATGTCTAAAGCGCCTGGTCAGAAGTCGATGTGAACCCCTTCTGCGAAGGAGTCAGGCATTGTGTGAGAGGATCTGTCTTCTATCCATATAACGCTACATGAAACTTTGTTGGTTGAACTCCTCCGCCATTTTTTTAACCGATTTTATCCATTGACGTCTCATTGGAAAGATCGTGTCGCGTAGATTTGTAAACTGGCCATACATGTTTGAAAAAGTCCATTGGGCCCTGGCCCCAGTGGCTTTGAAGGTTCCCATGTTATCGTTATGGAGAACTTAATTGCTTACATTTTGATCAGCTGTATAATTTAATTGTGGTTATTTATTTTTCAATTCAATGAAACGCATTGAGTACATTTATTTACTATTTGAGTTTGTGTAAACATAACCCCCAAGACGGATCGTGTTAGTATGGTTGTATCTTAAATGTGTGTATTTATCGTTGTTTTGTGTTGCTATGACGGATCGTGTCAGCAAGATTGTAACTTAAATTTGTGCATTTATCGTTGTTTTGTGTAGCTACAATTTGAATGTTTGTTTTTATTTTCTTTTAAATGCCTCCGACGCAACGACAACGAAACATAGACACATGAGGCGTAATCGTGATAACGACCTCAGCTACAGAACAGTGGCACGTAATAGGCTTAACTCATCACAGTCAGCACCTGACTCTGGACAATCTTAACTATTAGGTTACAAATACAATTAAAGAGTTCGTGAACCAGCATGATCGGATAATGGGAACGAAGATTTATGGGGTAAAAATGGGGTTTTCCCATTTTTGGCCCTAAAATCATAACATTTTGGAATATATTTTACAACCATTTTGTAGAACTAAAAAAAGAAATAATTTAGTATATTGAAGCATTTTTGCATGCCTAATGGTTACGGAGAAAATAAAAAAATGGAAATTTAAAATTCCCATGTTATTCTTATGGAAAAGATGAAAACTGTTTTAGTTTTCTTGTTTTGGATATGTTGATCAAATTTGGAAATTTTATTTATTTGATCCTATACTATTGACGTAAAAAACACTGTTTACCTTCCGTGTAGCAGCAAACCTAAGCACTCGCTTATTTATGGAAATATTTCAGTAAATATGTAATCAGACAAGTTTAAATTTGCTTCGTCTGAGGGTTTGCTGTGGCGGGGGTATTTTATATTATCAGCAAGTTTGGTTGGTTGTGTTAGGTGACTAGAGTTTAATTTTATAATTATTAATTGTAAAATTAGTCTTATAATAAAAATAAAATAATTTTTCTTAATTCGACGTGAGGGGCTCTCGCGGCTTGCACAATGCCTGACTCCTTCACAGAAGGGGTTCACATCGACTTCTGAACAGGCGCTTTAGACACGCTAGTCTCGGCGCCCAGTGTCATATTTTGATGTTGACCCTACTCGGACAGTTGAAAACTCGGACAGTTGATATTTTGATATTTTTTTAATAATTTAAAAACTCGGACAAATGAAAACTCAGACAGTTGATTTAACAAAATATTATTATTATTTTTAAACCATACTCAGACAGTTGAAAACTCGGACAGTTGATTTATCTAATTATAATTAGTTATTTATCAAAACTCGGACAGTTGAAAACTCGGACAAATGATTTTTCAAATATTTTGTAATTTTTAACAAACTCGGACAGTTGAAAACTCGGACAAATGATGTGATCCCGTCAAAACATGAAAAATGAACTGATTAACCCACTAACAGCACTCATAAATAAGTCTCTCAAACAAGGGGTCTTCCCAACACAGCTGAAAACTGCCAAGGTGTACCCTAAATATAAAAGTGGACCAAACACAGATGCTAAAAGCTACTGACGAATTTCACTTATACCGACCTTCTCTAAAATCGTCCTTAACAGACTAATATCCCATCTAGACCAAAATCTGCTGCTCACCAGCCAGCAACATGGTTTCCTTAAAGGAAGATCCACTTCCACTGCCTTAATACAGCTCACCGAGCACATAATAGAACAACTAGAAGACGGCTCCTCAGTCACAAGTCTGTTTCTAGACTTTAGCAAGGCCTTTGACTGCCTTAACCACAAGGCACTTCTTAGAAAATTGGGAGCTCTGGGTATTGAGGGAAAGTCTAAACAATGGTTCCACAGCTATCTTAATGGTAGACAGCAACTAGTTGAGATTCAGCATGTAGAAAAAAACACTAGCCATAAAATACATTCCGAAACTGTCCCTATACGGAGAGGAGTACCACAGGGATCAGTTCTCGGACCAGACCTGTTCCTCCTCCTCACAAATGACCTACCAGACCAGCTACAAGAATACTGCCAAACCACAATGTATGCAGATGACACTGTCATCACACTAACTGACAAATCAATAGAAACTTTAAACCAAAACGTATTAATCCCTGGGATAGAAGCACAAAATAGTACCAAATATCTCGGCATTATCATGGATTCAAAGCTGACATGGAAACAGCACATTGACCAACTCTGCAAGAAGCTACGCTCTGGCATTCATGTCATCAGGCGAATGAAGCAGGTTGGTGGTCTGGACACCGCAAAAACCATGCCCTGGTCGAGTCACACCTCAGGTATGGTCTGGTGGTCTGGGGGAGTACATCCAACAACTACCTAAAAAGAGTCCTTATCCACCAAAAAAGAGCTATAAGATGTCTAGCAGGCCTTCAATATCAAGAAAGCAGTTGTGATGCATTTAAGGAACTAAAAATCCTCACACTGACATCACTTTACATCCGTGAAGCGATTCTCCGTGCTATCTCCACAAATCAAACAAGAAACAGAGACATTCACCATCACAATACACGCCTCAAGCTTTGCAATACCACCACACCATCTAAGTCTCTAGAGGAAAATGAAATCTACAAATCCTCAAAGAAAGACCCAGGAGATATTTTAAACAATCAAATTAGTTTTAAATCAAATGAATTATTCACTGCTCATACTACAATAGGGATAAGAAAGTACAAAGGTCAAAGCTCCTTCCAACCAAACTGCAGTCCGGACATGTCAATCATGCAGTGCACATCTGTGGTCACAGTAGATAGTCATTATTAATTTTATTTTAAAATATATCATTA